AAGTACATCCTCTACGTAAGCATAATAATAGTAGTAATAATAATAATAACAACAACAACAACAATAACAGCAACAACAACATTCTGCAGCTGAACTGTTAAATGCTGTGCTCAATACATTAGGTGCTATGCTCTAGTGCTCATTAGAGCATTTAGCTTAAATTTTTTTAAATTGGACGCAATGTGTCTTGTAAAAAATAATTGCCACACGATGGCAGCACAATCCAGCGAGACAAAAAATTTGGCTGTCATTGCTGGGAAACTGCAGTTTTTAGGCGGCTGATTGTTAGAGAGCCTCAGTACATCTGAAAATGAAGCGCTGGCAGCCGCTGAATAGCTCTTTTGCAGTGTGCAGGCTAAGTGGCACAGTGGGTTAGTACTGTCGGCTTTTTCTTCTGGAGACTCGGGCTTACATCCTGGCTGAGCCTGTAAATGAAAGCGAGTTGGGTGGTCTCATCCCAGTCCCCATTTGTGCCTATCACAAAACCGCCGGGCAATTTGGCATGGCCAGGAGGGGCTGCCTGGGAGAGGAGCAGGATTGGAACAGGAGAGGGACTGCGGATCAGGGGCAAGGTGAGCTGGGAGACCTGAGAAGGGAGGTTTGTGTGGCACCTGCCCAGAAAGAACGACAGTCACCATCTGCCATAGGTGCTAATGTTATTCTGAATATCTTTGCAAAGTGGTGCTTGAAATCCAGCTCACATCATTATTTCATCCTTCTCTCCTTGCTACACACGGTGGTTTTTCCAGTGGAAGGAGCCAGGGAGCACGAAATGATTTGGCCTGTTTTTAGGCATAATTATGAAGAACAAATTCATCTAATTTCTCTTCTGAAGAGAGGGTAGAGCAAATTCTTAAATTCACCCAAGTATCTAGAGCACAGGAGATAAAAGTACAAGGGTGCTACACAAATCTGCACAAAGGGTCTGGACGGTCCCAAGACATGGCCCAGGTGTCTGTGTCAGCCCCATTGTGCAGGTTCTCCACATTCTTAATTTCTCTGGAAGCCCTGGTGCCAGGGCAGTGCTGTTGTCCTTATTTTATTGGTCAGGAAGCAAAGCTCAGAAAGGGTGAGTCACGTTGAAGAGTGAGAATACTCCTGAGACCTGAATCTGGGTATATATGAAGCCCTGTTGTAGGGGAGCTCTTGCAGGAGAGGAGTAAAAATGAGGAGTGAAGCCATGAGAGCAAGTGGGGCAGATGGAAAAAGGAATATGGTACTGCAGAAAATAGGAAACTGATTCAGGTTTTGAAAAAGAAATGATGCAGAAAATGAACATGAGTTTAGGAGCCAGAGTAATAGTAACAATAGTGGACAAATACCAGAAGAGTGTTCATTTTAAAATTATTTTTATCAAGTATCAAAGCTCTAAAAAAGCTAAACTTACAATGAAGAATAAACTCTAAGTAATCAGAAAAAAACAGAAAAATGTGCAATGTCTGGAGAAAGGAAGTTGTAAAGAACAAAGAAAAAGCATGAATATAAAAATATACTGCTAGAAAATGCAGTTTTTGAGGCAAGTACTTGTGAAGCTGTGCCAACTTCTATAAATACAATTGGCTTTAAAGTGAGGAGATATAGAAAAGTTGAAGCATTGCATTTTGGTATTTTCCTAGCAAAATGATTCAAAGTTTTATTTTTAAGTTCAGTTCATTTTACAGCTGAGTTTGTTTTAATTAAACATAGAGTGAAAGCAATCTAAAAGTGAGATAGAATTTTTTGCTTTTAAGCAACAAAAATTGTTTCAATGATGCCCTGGAAGAATTACTCTCCCCAGTTTTTCAGTTCTATCACTGAAGTGAAAAATCAATTATTTGTGCAGCCCTAGTTGTTCAATGAGGCATGTTCAAGAGAAACTTTGGTTAGAGATGTGGGTACTGCTGTCTTAAAATTTTGGAATTTTAGATGTGTTTGTGTATCTCAGAGACATCTGAGGAGCTGAGTGGGAGAAGGGGCAAAGGAAGGGGCTCATCAGGAAGGACTGTATCACCTGACTACTGCTTTCTGTTATCTCTAGAAATCTTGTGGCCTCACTGATGCTGCAAGTCTGAGTCTTCAGTTTTGCATGGAGGTGTAAAAATCTTCTTCCCTCGTGCCCACACTTCCAGGATAAGAAGATCCCTTTAGAAAGAAGGAAATCTAGACAGGTAGTGGTCTCTCAGTTCATATCAGAATTTTAGTCTTGTTCTGGGAAATGGCTGATCACACGCTGTTATCACAGCCTGGACACTGTTGATCACTTGAGAAGCAAGATACACTCCTATGTACCATTTCTGTTGTAACTTTATTAAAACAAGCAAGGGTTAGTTTAAAAATAATGCCTTAAATTTCTTGTCAGTTGTGCCTGCATTGGAATACAAATGTCACTTGTGCGAATTCAGTCCTTCAGAAGAAATACTCTCCCGTGCCAGTAGTTGATTTTCCACATGCATAATCACTTTGCTTTTTACTGGCCACACACTGTTACAGAGACATCAATTCTTGCCTAAGACGGCTATGCTGTTTTTTCTGCAACTTCTAAATGAAAATACTTCTGAAAAATTATAGAAGATCTCACTTCTGCATGAGGGCACAGAAGAGTAAGCCAGGCCACTGTGCCACTAATATCTCCAAGTGAGATGCTGGAGCACGTCCAGAGAAGGGCAGTGGAACTGGGGAAGGGTCTAGATTGCAAGTCATGTACAGAGTGTCTGAGGGAGCTGGGGATGTTTATTCAGAGAAGAGGAGGCTCAAGGAGAATCTTATCACTCTTTAAAGGAGCTGCCAGACACCTGGGTGTAGCCAGACAGGGTTCCCTCTCTCCTCACAAGTGCCAAGATGAGAGGAAATGGCCTCCAGCTAAGCCAGGGAGGTTCAGGTTGGACATCAGAAGAATTTCTTCACAGAAAATGTTGTTAGGTATTGGAATAGGCTGCCCTGGGAGATGCTGGTATCATCATTCCTGGAGGTGTTCAGGAAAAGAATGGACATGGCACTCAGTGCCATGATTTAATTGACAAAATGTTGATCAGTCAAAGGCTGGACTCAATGATCTTGGAGATATTTTCCAACCTAAATGATTCTGTGATACACTAGTCACTTTCTTTATACTCTTCCCTTCATAATAGTAGTTCCAAAGACACAAAGATACTTACCTGGATTGGGTGAATGAACATGCAGATGACTAGAAATAAAATTATGAAAAGTTATTCTCATGTGCTCTGTAAAACCATGCCTTCTCTGAACTTTTTTCTACTCCGATTTTTTCCGAAAGATTTGTTTACATTTAAAACACCAGAAACATATTCATAGAGGTCATTGTTTGGTGTTTTGCTGGTGTATGTTCAGGAAGGCAGGGCTTCTCCCTGCTGTCTCCATTTGCTCCAAACAGCACAACTTCCCAGATGCAAGTGATTCATCTTGTATCTTTTATACCTTTCCAGGTCCTCTGATGAGATATTCACTTCCATTAGATGATAACTGCTAGCTGAAGTTTTGTCAAATGAACCCAGAACCATAAACTGCTTTCATGGGCATAACAGCGGATTGTCTAGGAAGGTTGTAATGTTACAAAGCTGAATTTGGGGTTTGAATCATCTAATTATGTATCCAAAATGAACTGGCAACTTTGCAGTAGCTGAATCACTGAAAATGTAAATACGATTTTTTTTCTCATCAGATTTTGCAGACATTATTATGCATTTATATACTTGAATTTGAATGAACTTTGGTGGGGTAAACAGTGATTCCTTTAATTCTTAATGTTCCTGCCTCCCATCCTTTATTTCTTTATTTTTAATCATGAAACTAAACAAGTATTTGTAGTGAGGAAGCCCTATTCAAAGCCCTGCTGTAAAAATGGCCTGTAATTCCTGAAATCCCATACAATGAGTTCCTCATCTCTAAGTTTGTGGGAAGCTTGTATTACAGAGCCTTTGAAAGAAATCTATATCACAATAAGAGCAGTAATGTAAAACTATTTTTATTGAAAATACATCTACAAAGTAATGTTTCTCAATCCACACTGGGTGCATACCAATGCAGAACCAGTGAGGGATGGGGAAAGGAATCTTTCTATAATACCCGATTTCCATAAGAAACAAAGTTAGTATAAAAAAGATCACATTCTTTGTGACACAATTCATTTTTCTCAGCTGATGTCATAGAAAGACAGCCTTTTACATTGTCTTTGCAATGTATTTCCAAACAAAATCTTAACAAAAATTTTAAATGTTATGCCATAAATTCTACAGTTAATGTTTATACACACATTCTGAATACAGTATCTATATAAAAATATCTCTAATTATATATCAGAAAATGCCTGTCCGTATCCTAGATTTGCATTCTGTTAGCAAAAAAAAAAAACCAAAACCAAAAACGTAAAAACAGCCCATATTTTCTTTCAATCATTCGTTTAGAGATTCATTTAGAGCTTTCTTGGTTTGACGCTCAGTAACCAATATTAAACCCTGCTCACTTCGTTCATTTGAGAGTTCTTGCTCATATTTTCTGAATTACTCAACTGGAGAAGATAGACAGGAATTTTCAGTCCCAAAAAACCAATCTTGCCTGGGAAAAGGTTTGTCTTTGACCAGCATGCTGACATTTTCACTACAGTTACTTTTACACCCTATTTATGGACTTTAAGTGATAGATAGAATATATTGAATGTTTTTTGAATGGCAGCTGGAACAATACAAAGAGGTCCTTCATTTCTGTCATCAGAATTATTTTGGCAAGGAGAGGAATAAAGAAGAAAACCGAATATTTAAATAAAACAGAATATTGAACATTATTGTGCCTGTCCATTAATATTTTTTCTGTCTCCCAACTGCATTTGCATTGTAAAATTTTCTGGTTTAACCTCTCCAATGATACAAGGCAAAAAGGAAATAGTACATAATTTGTATTTCTAGAAAAGGGCTTCTTCAGGGAATAATTTTGAACAAAAAAGCCAATGTATTCCAAGTGCATTGTTTTTATTTTTTCATTCTTTCCTCATTTATTCCCCGAAAATAATTTACAATATTTAATTTTAAAATCCTTTCTAATTAAAATTTCCACATATATTATAGTTTTACTATTTTTCAATTTGCATATCTTTTCCTAATAAAAATACAAAAGAACCCATTAATTTTATTTTCTAAAGGCTTTTATCTTCTTTTTCAGGTGCTACTGGTAAACTCCCTAGGAATTAAAAATTTCACATTAAGATAAGGAGACTTCTCCAGATGGCAAAATGTAAATCCAGTTCATACTTCTGTCATTTATTAGGGGATCAAGAATTTGGGAGGTTTCCAGTCAGAAAACCTCTGCTGGTCTCAGGGATTCAGATTCAGAGCACAGCCCATTTAGGATCTGAACATCTCACCCTCTGCACCTTCTGTAGAAGGCTGGCATTGCCTTCTGATAATTGCTTATTAAGTAGCTCATTAGTGCATCCAGAGCGTGCAAATTTTTTTATCCAAACAGAGATGAAGACACATTTTCTGTCTCAGACCAGGGCTTTGCTCCTGCAAACACATACACAGATTGTTTAACTGAGTTGAAATATTGAAATTAAGGGAGCAAATCCAAATTGGAAGTACATATATGCGTGTGTAAATGTTTGCGAGTCAGTGGGAGCCAACTAGGCTAAATTTTTATAAAGATCAGATGAATCTAATTTGCAAACCTGTCTAGATAAAATAACTTTCTCAGAAATATTTCATCTCAGCTGGTAAAAGTGCTGATTTGGGGGTATATTCTTTTCTTTGTTTATATATCTTCCCCCTTTTTATCCCCTCACTTAATCTCCTGCTTTTTATTGTCCTGCTAGTATTTGAACAATAATACAACACTAGAGAAAAAAAAATTCAGATAAAATAGCAAAAGTCCTGTTAATTTACTTAGCTGGATGCAGTTTTCAAGTTAGAAGTGTTGATTGTGTGTTTATAGATGTTAGGAATTTTGCAACAGGTATTTAAAAAAATAAAACCATTTTCAGGCTCTGTTATCTGTTTTTACTTTCCAGTTCATAAAAAAAAAAAAAAAGATTCACAGGACTGAGTAACATATACACAATCTCTTTTTTTATCCCCAGTTAGCATATGTCTAGCAGGACCAGTGTTGTTGCCTGTTAATTTTTTTTAAGTGGGAAGCCAACATATACCATGATCGCTGCTAGTTTGGAATATGTTTTCATTAATTCTTTCCAGTGCGAGCATAAAGGGAGAAATCAAGGAATTGATGAAGTTGGTGAATTCAAGATATAAATCGCCGGAAAAAGTGTGTGTTTTCCCACACAGTTAGTGTCGAACTCACGCTTTCTCTAGCCTACATCTTGGTTTCACTATCTATTGGTTTCTCATTCTCATTTTCTTGCGAGATCAGTTGGTATGGTTTCTTCATTTCGTTCTCCTCTATCACGGAATTTCCCATCTCAGCATCCCTGTTCTTCAGCTCGTGCCGTGATAAATGTTCAACAATTCCTGCTCCAATGGAGTCTCCCAAGACGTTGGTAGTGGTACGGAGACGATCCCTAGGGAAAAAGCAGTGAGTTACTCTCATCCCTTGCTCAGGGCACAAGCAGACTAGCTGCTAAAACAGCCCTCAAATAGCTACTAGATGAGTCGCCTGTTTTATATACATTTGCTTATCTGACCTGTTAATGCCATGATTTCCCCTACAGCAATTAACAAATACAGTGGGATATGGAGTCACAAAAAGTGTTAATACTCTTAGCAGCTTCACAGCAAGGAATGGTCATGGGATGAGGATGGCAAAGGGAGCATATGCCTTCTTGGAGGCATTTTGATATCCTTCGGCAAGAAAAGTTTGGGTTTATATCCTCTGAATGTGTAAGCCAGCAAGAATTTACCTTGTTAGGTTTGTTTGTCTCCTGACCATAAAATAAGATGTGTAATTTAGGGTGGAATTGTGCAAGAATGACTCAAATTAACTACAAAATTTCATCCCTCTCAGAGGGCTCTGCCCTGCAGATGCAGAAGGCAGCTTGACAAGGAGTGACTGGCAGTGTCAGTAGGTAAGCATCCACCTACATCAGGTGGTTAAATAATTATTTGAAGACATTATGTTCTGATAACAACACAGGCAACTTCTTTCAGGGATCATTTGAGAAGACTGAAGGGTAAAGGCCCCTGGAAAAGCTAAATAAGAGGTGTTAGATGAAAGAGAGTTTGGAAAAAATCTTCTTATTTATAACCTGGACATAAGGGAATATATATATCTAAAGGGGTCTGTCATCTTCTACAGATGTATGAATGGAAAAGCTGAGGCAGGATTCTTTGTGGTGGCAATTACACAATTATTTTTAATTTCTGTGTTCATGGGGCAGGCAGATGAACCTTTCCTAGATTTGATAGTCAGCAAGGCTGAAATGAATTGGTTGGATCTGATACAGTTCTGAGTCTGATTGACTGAAAAGTTTTCATTGTCATCCTACAAAAAAGAAGAGACTAAAACAATTCTTTTCTTATTTAATTACAGTGTATCTGAGTTTTCTTAGCATTTTTACAATGCAGGTTTCCATGTAATTTTTTGCATGAAAAAGGAACCATAATTAAGCAACACCCCTCACCATCTGCTCTAAGAAAACACTTTACTAGCAAGAAATAGTGACTCTTTTTAACACTTGTTTCCAGCTGCCTTCCAGAGCAAAACATTGTAGTATAGCCACGATATCCCTGGCTATTTCACTTCTAAATGTGGTCTAAGCCTTTAACAACTCCATAAAAATACTTACAAGAACCAGTCCACTGCAATGATAAGAGTGATATCATCTGTAGGCAAACCTACTGATGTGAGCACAATGACCATGGTGACCAGTCCAGCTTGAGGAATGCCTGCAGCCCCAATACTGGCAGCTGTAGCAGTGATGCTGTGCAAAGAGATGGCAAGAGCAATTAATTGATTTCTTAATTAAAATGTAATAAAAACTCTCCTTATGTGTCAAAATTTAAAACCAAATATAAAGCAAGAGGGCATTTGCTCAGCAATAATTAAAGTGGTGAGCCTAGTCCCTTATCTGAGCACCCCATAGCTGCAGGGGACTATGACCCTTGATCCAAAGTGTCTCACTAAACCTCTATTCAGAAACCTTGAAACACGATTTTGTTAGGTGATAAATTCCCTACTAGACGCCAAGGGCCAGAAAAAACCATTCTAGTTACATGTCCCCACCCATTGAAAAATACTCTCTTCACAAGCTCAAACACGTTAAAAGAAAAGCTGAGAGTTCTGTCCTGGCAGACCTAATCCAAGAACTTTTGCTCTCTGTCCACCTCACTATAACTCTGTGCCAGGTGAAGTCTGTCCTCCAGCAGTTGGTGTTCTGCCATCAGAAAACAGAAAGCTGCCAGAAACCCTGAGTCATACAGTCTAGTGACTTTGTAGAAATATGCTTGTTCACACCTGGTTTAGGGAGAATTGTTTTCTCAGGTGGTTTTCCAGGGAGCAGCTCTAGTACTAATGAATGTGAAACAATTGCCTCAGAGAGTGAGGGCAGAGTTTTGCCTTAGATTAATGAATATTGAAATAAACTGCTGGGATTTATGGAGCACTATATCTGAACTTTCTGTGCTCCTGCGTGATAGATCTGTGTCTGTCCCACAATGCCCAACTATTCCCTTGCTGACATTCCTTTCTTTTGCACAAGTACCCATCATCCTTTTTCCTTAAACTGTGGTAAACATAAAGAAATTAAAGCAGATTAGTTATCGTTGAATGTTAACTAGTGGGTTGTTTGCTGTTGTATTTCAAACTAGAAGGGTTGTGTGCTTGAAAACATAACCTGTGTTCACCACTTCTGTCAGCTGATGTAATAAAATTGCATTACTGTTCCTTACACAGCTAGCCCCGATTTTATCCTTAAACCAGGAAAACACTGCCTCTTCTAGCAATAACATCGTGATGGCTTTAAGCTTTGGCTTTGTGCATGCAGCATAAATTACCTGGTACTCATTATAAATCTGTAGAACCCAACAGCTACATGAGTTCTTAAGAAAAAAATTGAAACAAATTGAATCTTGTCCTTGTCTTTATTAAGTGCAGTAATGGCTGTGTCATGTTACAGCTTTGTTAAAAGTTTATCTAAATAAGAATACGTTCTGGGGATCCTTTTGTGTGAAGAAGATGTATATTACAGATAATCTGATACTGTAGCAGTTCTTGTAGCTCTAGGTTCTTTTGTTTTATTCCACTTTAACCAGGAAGGGGTCATCACAAAGGCGCTTCTGCTAAATGTAGGTAACTGTGGTTTCCATACCTGATGGTGATAATCTGTCCAAAGTTCAGATCAAAGTTGTTGACCTGTGCAATGAAAATTGCAGCCAAAGCCTCATACAAAGCAGTTCCATCCATATTAATTGTAGCACCAACTGGGAGTACAAATCTTGTAACTCGTTTGTCCACTCCATTGATTTCTTCTAGACACTTAAATGTAACAGGTAGTGTTGCGGAACTGAAACAAATAGAAAAAAGATAATACATGATATAAATTCTGCAAAGAGAGAAAGAGCGACACCTTATAATGAGAAGAGAGACTATTCTGTCTTAGTTTTTATGTCATCTAGCAGAATTGTTTTGGGTTTTTTATGCAAATGCTGAATTTAAGCATTTCTAATGCTGAAGGTTCTCCTGATGCTCTTGGAAACTTTTTCCAGCTGTTAATTACTGCTATTCTCTATTCAACCCCGAGTCTAAAAGTGTCTAAGTTCAGTGTTTTGTCACAAGGTTCTTCCGCCAGGCACAGAAACCTATTTAAAATTCCTGCTTCTCAATTTTAAGTCATGGAGCTGTGATTGAATCATCCCTAAGCATTGTTTTCTTGAAGGTATACCAATTGGACTATTCAAACCTTTAGTAAAAAGCTTGTTTTCTCTTATTTTTTGTGGACTCCCCTACAAAGGGCATTTTGATTGATGGTTGCATTATTTTCTCAACTATGGGCTAACACCTGTAGGCACCTGAGCACCACACAGCTGCTCACTTGCCTCCACACCTGGATGGGACAGGCAAAACTGAAAGGAACAGTAAGAACAAGAAAAGGGAGGGGGGAGGGTAGAGAAAAAAAAAAGTTTAATAAGTGTGGGAGAAGTTTGAAAGAAGAGCAGAAGAAAACACAAGAACAGAGGTGATGCTTAGGCACCATTCCCACAGATGGACCACTGGCCAGCAAGTCTGGAGTAATACATGGCCAGCCTTCCTAAAATCCTTCTTCCCCTTTCATTGCCCAGCATGATGTATGTGGCATGGAATATCTCTTTGCTTACTTTGGTACATCTGCCTGGCCATGTGCCCTCCCAGCCCACTGTGAGCCCCTCATCTCACTGTGGGGCAGAGTGAGAGTCAGAGACGGCCTTGAATGCTGCACAAATACTTAACAACAGCTAAAATGTGGTCATTGTTGTTTTGGCCAAAAATCTAAAGCATGGCACTTTATGAGCTGCTATGAAGAAAGTTAACTCTGTCCAAGCCAGGCCTGTATGTCTACACCTGATCACAACAAAGTAAAGAGGTTTTCCAAGACACATAATTCAGGTTACTTGATCCCAGTGAAACCTTCATTGCTAAATAATTAACAGACTTTCTAGTCTTTGAAAACTCTATCAATATTGATAAAACATTGACCAAAAATTAAGAGGGGTTGTGGAAGATTGTGTTAGAAAAATATCTTTGCTGACAGTCATATTACAATTGAATTGTAAATGGTTTTCAAATCTACTTGCAGTACAGTATGCTGCCTTGCATCAGCCTAGGTTTTTACTTCAAAAGAATCTCAAACAGCAAGGACTTGAATTTAGCATCACAGAATATCTGACTGAAACCCCCTGTCTTTAGGACACATATTAAGAATGTATTAAAATGCCGTTTTATGCAAGGTCAAATGGTATAGAAATGTACATTTTATTGTAAGGCTTCCTTCTGTTATACATGCAGCTTTTTTAATTCACATGACATAACTATGACCACCTGCAAAAAGCAAAGCTGACTTTTGTTGTTGGTTCTGTATCCATAACTGGCTACCAGGACTTTAAGCACAAAATATCAGCTGCCAATAGGAATCCCCTCAGGACTTTTCTGTTTGCTGCTCCATTTTGCCATGCATATTCTTTGCCAGCTCTATCCTTCATTATCAAACCATCATAAACTACTTAGAATAGCAAACACCAAGGCTAACCAAACTAATAAGGGTTCTGGCCATACAGTCTGTGTCAACAAGCAGATTGATTTCATCTCAGTTCAGGGTTTCTTATATAAAACAGAATTCAAACCAGTATTGGAGAGCAGCAGAACTGAAATACAGTGCCCAAGTGAATATGGAGTTCAACAAACATTAAGCAAAATTGTTTCTTAAGCCAATAATACTAAAAACAGATATGGCTTCAAGATATTGTGTTATACCTGGAAGATGTTCCCAAAGCTGTGACTAATGCCTGGATTAAGCCTCCAATAAATACCCACGGATTCTTACGAGTGATCACGAAGTAGAGAAGAGGTAGGACAATGACAGCATGAATTAGCAAACCAATGATAACTGTTACAGTGTACATGGCAAGCTGACCACCGATCACACCCATATCTTCCATCTCAACAATCTTCCCAGCAATCAAGAAGAGAATTCCAAGTGGAGCATACCTGCAAATAATATATCAAAACAGCATCACAAAACAAAGCAGAGATTCGGTCCCACATCCATCCTGTTTGTGTTTATATGCATAAATGCACAATTTCACTGCTAGGATGCTCCTATTCAGAAGCAGTTAAAAAATTTAACTCTTCAACTCCTAACAATTCAAGCTGGATTGAATCACAGCAGTGAATGTTTTTGGTGGGATTCAGTGGATTCATCTGTTAAGGGTTTCGAGATGTATAGCATGCCTTTTGGACAGGTAGGGAAATGAATTTTCTTTGGAATTCAAGTGTAATTTAAATGCTAGTTTAGCCAATCCTGTTATAATTCTGCCATGTGAATTAAAGCTAAACTGTCATACGTGTACACTGTGCCAAGTTCTATCCCAGTGCTGTTTCCTGTGTTGTTGGGGAAGAAACCCACACCGAAGTCTGATAACTTCTGAAGATTTCAAGGTGCTTCTGATGCCTAAGATTTTTAGCTTTTTATTTTTTTCACATATTTGTAGCTTTGTAGCTTTGGCTATAGCTTCTGGTATTTTTCCTATCTTTCTTCCCTACAGTTAGGAACAATAAGCCAACTTTATAAATGCATTCCTAAATATTGTTCTAGTTTTATTCCAAGAAGAGTACCAGTTACAAAGATGTTCTGTTTTCTAATCAGAATCTGGACCAGACATATCAAAAGTGGGGCAAAAGAAACCTCTGAACTGCTTCCAGTGGGCCAGGACTACAGAAATTATTATCTAACCACTAACCTTTTAATTGGACAGTGTATATAAGTATAATAGACTAACCATACGAAAACTGTAGAATTAATAATCCGTGTGATTTTTGTCATATTTTGCACCTGAAATTTTCAAGTAAAGATTTGCCCTTATATTCACTCCAATGCTTTTGGGAAGATCTGTTCTACTTTCTAGGCATCACTTCTGGCTATGTTTCATTCCATCCCATGGGCACTGGATAGATATATTCATCAGCATGAAGAAATCTCTATGACAAAGTTTGGCTGCATTGTGGAACAGCAGCACAGGTAGGATGAACTGCTTTTGCCTATCATGAAGCACAGCTAGAGGTAAAGAAAGAGCTGGTGCTGAGCATAAAACTCAAATGCTGCTGCAGCAGTACTTTAGGTACAGTCCTACTCCTATAAATGTCCACTTGTCTTCTCACAGTAAGATACCACAGAACAGAATCTATCCACTAAATTTCAACTGCCCTTTATGCCATCAAGTCCATGTAGAAATTTATCTGAATCCTCTGTTTTAACATTTTAAATGTGCTTGTGAAGGAGAAAATATTTTAGTTATTGGAGAAAATATACTTATTTTTGTGTTTATATCTAGCATCACGGTATATATGTGCTCCTGGATAGACTCTTGGAGTTGATTTAATTTTTCTTGTAGTAAAGACTAAAGAAGGGAACAAGATATAATTTCTTTTCATAGTTAACCTTCTATGTGGAAAATAACGAGTTTTAATTTTTGAAAAGATTTCATACCTTGAGGGAAAAGGTATTTATTTTATTTACATAATGAACAAAATAAAGAAAGCAGAAAAATTATGTGTATGTGTGAGTAGTGCAGCTACAATGCAAGGACATACATATAAACTCCACAGCTACAGGAACCAGCTGTGCTGGAAAATTATGATAACAAGGTCTTGCTGTGTAGAAATAAGATTATGGGAGAGTCGGTTTCCTTTAATGAATTCAGATTAGGATGTAAGGAAACTTCAATAGCCTACTGCTGTGATTGCTATCTTTATGAAGACATAGAATGGCTCTGTATAAGGGTAACAACTTCTGCCACAGACCCTGATTTTTCTCATGTCAAAAGTGAAACCCACTGGAAGATTTTGTATGTGGAGGCAGATTATTTTCACAGAGAGTTACAGCTCTTGAGTTCACTCATGAAAAAAGTTCCAAGGTAGATGCAATCTCATTGCCTGACTTTCTGCCAAACAGATTCTTGCTACTCAGTGCCTGACTATGGTGAAAAAATATTGTTAGTAGCTTAAAAAGGAATTTATCGAAGAGGCACTTACCACATGATTAGAGCTACCAATCTCATGATAGCCTCATTAAGGCTATCAAAGAAGTCTTTCAATGCCTGACCTTGCTCCCTCATGCTCCCAATCACCAGGCCAAAGCTTATTGAGAACACCACCAAGCCAAGGGCATTCACTCCATTCACAGAACCTGGAACAGGAACTATTTCCTCTTTCATTCGGGTGAGAGCTTCCATTGCTTCTGACACGTTGCTTATTATGGAAGTCACCGTGGATGTGTCATTGGATGGAATAGCTACTTTAAACTTTCTCTTTTCATAGTTGGTTTTGAACTGTTAAAATGAAAATAAAAGGAAGAGAGAAATTCGTTGAATCATAACAAATGAAGGCTAAAATCACAAATTAAATTATTATTTACTATTGTAGGACATTTGAATTTTTTGTTTAATATTTCTAGGTAAAATGTACTATGATATAAGCTTGGTTTTCCTGAAAGCAAGAAAAATCCATATTAATTTTAGAATTTAAATCTTCAGCTTTAGCTTATAGAAATCATTTTCCTATAAATAGGCTGAAGTCAAAGATGCAGATTTGTCATGCTCCTGTGTTCTGTAACAAAACTATTGATTCTTAGTTTATATTTTATATAAATTGCTATTTTTCCTAACAACAAAATTCCAAGTGTCCATAGCCTTTTTTTGGCTAGTGAGAGTATTTTCTTGTGCTCTGGACTTTCTTTATTTCTTCATCTTTTTATACGAAAAAAAATAAGACTGAAGTTAACTTACATATAACATACCTCTTTTTTCTTTTGTTATGGCAAAGCTGTTAGTTTACTCCACAGTACAAGTCACCACATATATTAATTAAGGAAAGGATTAAACTTTAAATGGTTCCTTTATGGAACAGACAATAAATTTTTTAATTTCAATATGGTACTAAATATCTGCTTTGAAAACCAGTCTTTCATGCCCTAATACTTTTCCAAAGAGAAATTTACACCCTGAATACTTTTATCTGGGCTCAAAGAGCCCTACAGCTTCTTTCCTGGTTAAATTCTGTTGAACACAAGGCACACTAAATGTCACTAGTATAATGTTTCTCATGTGTCTCAGGATGCTAATTAGTCCATTAAAGCAGAAGAGTGCTGGTGTTGAGGTTATTCAGCAGCTTTGGATTTTTATTCTTTTGGAGCTACCAGGAGAACTTTTAGTATCCTTACTAATATCTGGAGACCTGTTGAACATTTCAGAAGTACTTGAGGAAAATTTAACAATTATGACCTGAGTATCATCATCTTTCAACATTAACCTGATTTAATGTTACTTTTTGCACCAGAATAGTTTTATGCACTCCTTCCACATATTTGAGATAGTCCTCTAAAGGCTCTAAGTCTCTCAGAATGCCAAATATAACCTGCTTACTGGACATTTATGGGAGGTTTCTGAATAATACGGAGCAGAACCAAGATTCGTGAAGGTCAGATACTCTTGAGTTTTGAATAAAATTTGCAAAAATCTTTTCAGATTTGGGCTGTACAGAAGTCAGCTGAGAGCTGTATGAGCAGCTGGCTGAGATGTAAGAGCACAGTTCCACTGCCTCACCCATTCACATCCAACCTGTGAAAATTCTTGTTTGATCTCTCAGTGAGACAATTCTACTTTCTAATGTGGCAGAAATCTTACCAAGCAAAAAATGTTGCCATTTTTTGGGTAAAGTCAGGGGAAGTGAATCAGCTGTCACTGACTGCTGAGATGTCATAGAGGGAAGAAACCAGAGGCTGGAACTACACAACCAGAGAGGAAGGGATGGGGTTGTCTCTAGAGTGGTATTAAAGTGTAAATGGAGAAGTAATGTGAGTGTTCATTACAGTGTTTTTTATTACGTCAGGAATGTTAAAATACTGCCTAACACTTCACATCAAACAATCCTTCTCCTTCTCCTTCTCCTTCTCCTTTTCCTTTTCCTTTTCCTTTTCCTTTTCCTTTTCCTTTTCCTTTTCCTTTTCCTTTTCCTTTTCTTTTTCCTTTTCCTTTTCTTTTCCTTTTTCTTTTCCTTCTCCATTTCCTTTTCTCTATCTTTTTCCTTTTAACCCTTCCCCTTTCCCTTTTCCCTATCCTTTTCTCTATCCTTTTCCCTTTCTTTGTCTCCAGGTGTGGTAATTGTGTTACATTTATATTTTTATTGCTATTTTTCAATAGGAAAAAAATCTTAGACGCAAATTCCTTATCGCATATGTCTGAAGGATGTAACTATGTTGTATTTGCAGGCACATGGATTGGATGAAAGTAGAAAAGCAAACTATTCAATGAGCTCTGAAACAATGAGGTCTGGAATTAAAGTCTAATTTCTTATGAAGTTTCCTATTTGCTTCTCACTTTCCCAAGCACATCATAACTTACTTGGTTCTGAACCTCCTCCATCACCCTCAGGTTCTTGTCTCATTCCTGTCTAGCTCCAAAGTGTGATACAACTGCTGGACAGAGCTGGATGTGTGCTGCCTGCCTGTGGGAACAGGCCATGAGCTAAGTCATAAATCACTTTTCCATCAGAGGCAGACTGATCTTCATTTGTCTGAGAATTGCTCCCTTCATGTCAGATTAGGTCAGAGTTGCCCGTACAGCTACACAATTATGGTGGGGGACTGACAATCACACAAAGGTTCTTACCTTCAAAAACCTGCGTTAGAAAGAATTTTAGGTGGTAATAACAATATGCCTTCATTTTACACTCATTCTGGAATTTAGTAGCAGCAGGAACATGCTTTTAACTCATTAGTTAAGTATCTTTAGGGGTATAACATGGATTTTAGGAATTCAGCAAAGTCCTTTTCTATTTCAGCTGCTAGACTGGCCCACAGAGGTGTATGTCCTATCTGCTTGCTTACCATATTCACCAGACTTCAGTATTCAGAAATATTACTGTGGAGAATAACCCCTTCCAGGGGAGAAACAGCACAGAGTGAGATTCAAAATGTTAATCTAGGCAACAGAAACCAGAGCAACTTTATTTCCACTGGAATATTTACTTGAGCTGCTCCTTCTTTCATTTCAGCTGACTGAGCCCCAGGAGATCCCTGTGGATATGCCTTCTGTGGATCTGCCTTATGCCCAAAGTTGTCAACCACAAGTCATGAGAAGTTTCCTGGTGAAGCAAAATTAATCAAGGGAAACCAGATATATCTGCTGAGGAAAAAAGTGTAGGTTGTTAGTTGAGTTTTATTCTTACTGTTGCTTCTTCAAATGACATTAAAGGCAAAACACAAGATTGCTTGACCTCCACAAAACATATTTTCTGTGTGTGAAATGGTGAGAAAAGCCAACTGCTTACAGAAAGTGACCGTATGAAGGACAACCTTCAGAATGTTAGAAGCTGTTTTGAAATAAATGAGTTAATAGCAGGGTTAACTATTACTGCTCTGCAGAGTAACTGGTGGTAAGAGATAATTTTTGAGCTTTTATGACATTCCTATTTTCAGCAGATTTCTATCTCAGTGACAATCAGAGTTATCAGCTTTTAATGTAGCTCAAACTGGCAGTTTAATTTCACATTGTGATTCTGCTGATTCTTGTTCCTTTGCAACTTTCAGAAAGAGAAGAAATTAGGCAAAATAAAACCACCCATTATAGGCTTAAGAAGAGAGACCAGAGGTCTATACACTGATAATATGCGATGGGCTAGGTAACATCAGTGAAGTTTTCTATATTTCTGAGGATATAATTTTGTTACACCTCCAGGAAGAGGTATTTTTCCCGGTAAAATTTTAGATGCAAAATACTTGTATTTTTTTCCTTAAGTTCATGTACAGAAAACAATTGAGGAGCAAGATAAAATGTTATTTGAATGTGTTAATTTGAACAGCTTTCTATGAACAATCACGTCTGCAAGTAAAATGGAAAAATAATGCATTTTCTGGACTTTTTTTACAAGACATGGTTTTAATGAACAACTGGAAAATTAATTTTAATTAACTTAGCTCACTATGAAATAGACAATGTCAGTTTTTTATTGAATACTGCAATGAATCAGTTGTTTACACTTTGACTATTATTTTGGTTTTATCAGTGGTACAAGATACCCAGTCATTTGACCTGGATATATTGAAGGACTTCTGAAGAATCAACTTTATAACCTGGCAGCTGCACATCCCAGGAGTTTAACTTGCAGAAAAGGTAATTGCAATGGTAACTCTTCTGAAAATTCATAGTTCACTGTTATAATTTACTCTAAGATAGTTGTTAGTACTGTCACTGTATGGTGATGCAGCATTTGGTGAGTAATGATTTTAAAAGCAAGAGGTTTACTTAAATGCAATCCTAAAAAATTAAAAGAAGACAGAGATGTTCCATCTTCTTGATTTTTTTTCCTTTGCTTTCCATATGGATATGTGAGAAAACATTCTAAATTTTCTGGTAAGAGCTGATGACACAAGTCATAATATGTCTCTTAGTACTAGCCCAAATTATCATGAGGAATAGGCTCCATATATTGGATAGTATTCATTTCTGGATGTGTGATTAACACTTGCAATTCCCTTGATAATGACAAGTTCAGGAAAGAATATGTAATTAAAAATATCCCAGAAGAAATGCACTTATCAGATGCAGTTCTTTAAGCTTCAGCTGGCATCAAATTCTATCTATTCACACCAGAATGACCCTCCCCAAATTTTTAGATTGATCCTGTTTCTCTTGATTTTGCAAGTTTGCTTGTGTTGCTTCTAGCCTTTGATAGACCTCCAGAGCACAGCATGAAGAACAAGCAGCTAAGAAGCAGTATCTGCTTAACAGACTGCTCACTTCTGCTCAGCCCCAGGCTAGACAGCATTTTTTAATTTAGCAAAGAAAGAGAATAAAGAGATAGTGGTCAGAGCTGAAAGATAAACCCAAAGATTTCTTTAAATATCCTAAACTGGGGGTGTATGCAGAGACATAGACAAAATTTTGAACAGAGCAATTTAATTTAAGAATATTTACCTTCAGTCAACCTATTCAGATTCTCTTGTTACTCCTAAAAATCACAAAAGCCTCATGTGATCCGTGCATAGTGAATGTTGTGACATCTCATATGGAAACAACCAGAAAAGATGTTATTTAGAGTAATAATCTGCTGTTTAACAATCAGCCAGAGAAGGCTGAGGTACTCAATGAGTTCTTTGTCTCAGTCTCCATTGTCTGGCTTATCTCTCCTTATCTCTCAAGTCCCTGAATCTCCAGGTGGAATTTGGAGGAGCATAATCCCTCCCACTTTAAGCAAAGGTTTGGAATCACCTACTGAACCTGAATGGAGGTATATGGGACATGAAAAAATGCATCCCAGGATCCTGGGGGAACCAAAGCACTCTCCATCATATTTTAAAATTCATGTCAGTCAAGTGGAAAAGGGAAATATCTGGGAAAGCAAATGTGCAAAGAAGGAAGATGAGGAGAAGTAAAAGAAAGGCGAAGCAGCTTTGCCTCACAATCTTGTTGGGAAGAAAAAGGAAAGGGAATCCAAAGGACCAGACAACTGAAAGAGGAACAGTAAAAAATTTAGGAAGGTATTTCCTAGATAAATCCTAAGGTTCCAGTCTCCCTCCAAGACTGTTTGTCTCCCAGCAGGAACCATATAAAAGCATTGCCAACTCCACTTGAAATCTCCCCCACGCTGGTTATGTTCTCTATTTCATTTCGCACCTTCCTGTGGCTTCCATACAAACAAGGAAAGAAACTTGCTAAGGATGCTGTAAGACATGATGTGCACATCTGATCTACCCAATGATGTGATTTAAATGTGCAGTGCATATTCCAGTGATGATTTCCAGGTGTGTAAAGCTGTGGGTTGCTATTACACTGTTGAGTGGACAGCTATGAGAAAGTTCTGTGTTTCGTGTTTAGACCATCAAACACTGTGTTACAGAAACAGATCTGTGCCAGATGGATCATTCCTTTTCATAAATCTTCTGAGAAACATAAGAAATAATGGATGGAAACTTTTGAAAAGAAAATTGTTGGTTCAGATGTACAAAATCGTCTGGATACTTAAGAATATTACATGTAAGCGAAGATATTTTTTAAATGAATATACTACAACAAAATAACTTGTGTAAAAATCTAGGGTTTGGTACGAAGTTCAAGAAGTAACAATATGACAAATTAAAAATCCTGTTACTTCAGTAAATCCTGGTGCTTTCAGTTGCTGCTGAAAGTCAGTCAAAACTTTCACTAAATATGTCCTCTTTTTCTATATTGTTTTTTAGAAGCCCCTTAAGCTTTAAAGCACACGAGAAATACAAGATACTTAAATGTTAACATAATCTACAGGACATCTTTAATTAAGAATATAGCTTTAGAATTGCTAGCTACTGAGCCAAGTTTTCTGTTGCAGTAGAATACTATCAAAATAATATTTTTAACTGTATTGGAAAACTCCTGAAGTGTTCCAATACTTCCTAAATAAAGGTGTTTTCAGGAATTCAACTTTAAGTTTTGTAGGATTTAAAATGTTACAAACTTACAATTTGAACTCGGTAATAGTGGTTTGCACTTCTTTTTTTTTAATGTTTTTACATTATTTAGCTCTCTTCCCACTATTTATATTTTGGACTTGAATAGTTTCTCAGTCAGTATTTTTTTGCTTTACACGCTGTGTTCATTTGATAATTCCAACAACTCCTCTCTTCATGGTGTTTACTTTGCATGAACGAAGATTGAATGAAGAAAACTGAATATGCTCACATATTATCTGGCTTTATTTCATGCCTTGGTGTTTCGTCACTTAATATATATCCTAGAGGTGAAGTGAACATTTTTGATCTTTTTGATGATAAATTGCTATGTCAAAGCAGAAATTACTGTTAACCCATAAGTGTTTACTTCACATGTGTTGAAGAGCTAGGGAGGTAAGAAGAAGGTAACCAAACATGCCAATATATGCAAGAGCTGAGTAATTTTGTTGTTGTGACTTTACAGAATTGTGTTGTGCCTGGTCTTATCAACTTCGTTGTCATTTTGTTTTGATATCTCAACACAAAGTGCTTGGACTTTTTTGTCATCTGCAAATTTAACTGGGTGCATCTTATGGCATGTCATTCATAAAAATATCAGCTGAGGTACTCCCAGTCCTTCAGCAACGGCCATTGCTATTTCCACAAATTTTAAAATTCTTACAGTCCCCTGCTCAACTATTTCACTTTTGTCATCTTAAAAACTCTATTCTTTCTCAGAAGGCAAAAAAACCTCCCAAAAAATTAAAATAAAGAAATAAACCCCCCCAAACAAAACAAACAATAACAACAACAAATTTTAAAAAAAGAAGGAGGAAATGAGCAATATTATGGAAGAACGATGGTACAATTTATGTTTCAGAAACGCCTGTGGTTTTTCTAATTCGTTTTATATATTTTTCATTTTTGTTTATTATGAGGTCTCTACCTTTTTCTTTAAGGCATTTATATCCTTCACTATAAACAAGATCAAACTAAGGGCCTGCTATCTGCTTAAATTTCCCAAATATTTTTGAAACTGCAATCTGGAAGACACTTTGGTTGCTTTCAAGAGCTCTAGATAATAATTTCCAAGCTTCAGAGATTTATGAAAAATACTTGCTGCAACATTCATAACTTTATGCCCTAATTATTTCAATATTTTGAGATAAAGATCATATATTTCCTGTTCTTTATTACATTACATTCTTTGAATTTATTTCTAGTTTAGATATAGAACTCTTGCATTTCTATACTGCTTTTTTGCATCGCTGTACTGAGTTCATCAACATCCTTGCTGAAGACAGAGGCATGGCATTTGGACCTGGGTCTGGTTGGCTTTTTAATCTTTAATCTAGAAATCTTTAATGCAGAAAGTGACTACTTTTTCTTGGTTTCTGTTTATACAACTAAAGATAATGTTACAATTTCTTTTCAATTCTTCTGCAAGATGTAAGTCAGCTGGATTTTTGAAAGTTTATACTCTTTTATGCTCTTCTTGACCTCCACATTTCAGTTATTTTTTTTTTATTGCTACAGCAGTAACTGGTAAATAATATCAGTTCAAGACTGTCTGTGAGGTCAATATGCAGCAATTAGATTATGGAAAGACACATTCTAGGTTTCACTGAATCACTAATGTCCTTCTTCTTAAAGAAACAATGTAACTAGTTATTACTATTTTCTCCAAAGAATTGCTAAGATTAAGACCAAGCTAATGATTGAAGATTTTGAATAGCAACATAAAAAAACCACTCCTAAATAATTCTGCTGTAGGTGACAGTAAGTTCTTCATTTGCTTTTTTTGTTAATGTCCACAAATTTTTTTCCTCTGTTTTGAACATATGCATATTTGTCACATGACTCCCTTGAAAATCTTCCAGTCTTTGCACAGATGGTGAATATCTCAGTATCTCCCAGTTTAACATAACACTGTTTTAGAAAAGCAGAATCTGAAATCGCCTTAATGAACCTTGCTGTCAACTTATGAATTTGACATTTTGAAAAAAGTAATTTTTTGATTTGTCAAGCCATGTGGGTTTTCTTCACTTCTTATAGCAAATACTGTTGTCTCAATGTGATTGAAAACAAAGCACAGATCTGGTTAGTTTAGTTCAGGGGTGTTTTTTCAAAATCTGGCAGTAAATGTAAGTTATGTTTCTGCTGTAATTACAAGAACATGATATTCCTAAGGCAAATGTGGTTACATTTTATTTCTTATTTCTTCATGCTTTATTTGGAATTTTAAAAAATATTTGTTACCTGTTTAAAGCAAGCTTCCACCAGATTTGGAGGGAACATATTTCTGTGAAAGAGAAAGAAAATAACATGAGAAGTAATATGCTAATAATTCCTTTAGTAAGGGCACAGCTAAAAAAAGAATTGAACAGCTAATTTTTGAGGAATCCCAAGACTATTATGTGATTACATATGCAGTGAGTAGAGCTTTGCATGTAGAATTGGCTCGGTTAGCTTCACCAGGATGAAATGTAGGGTTGGATAGTTCTTTACAATTGGAATCTCTATATTCAGTATTGTATAGCAGGTCTGGTTATGGGAAGTATATTAGCTAAATTACTGAATGTACAAAGCTCTATGGGGTCACTTTTAATTTTGTACTTATTAATGCATTATGAATCCAGACTAATTAATAATTTAATGACATTTAATGTATTTTGAATTCTTAAACAATTTTCGCATATATGTAGCCTAGTACTTAAAGACATTTATCACTTGATTTAGTCCTGTTGTGGTTACACCCCAAATCTTTCTGAAGTTTGAGTATTCTATAACAATAATACATACATGTGTGTGTACATTTGTTGTAGATGGGGGTTTGTTTCTCCTTTCCTTTGTTTTCTGCATTTCTGAGGGATTTAGAAGCAGCCTAACTGAATAAATCTTGAGGAATCTGAGTGCAAACCTCTTCATGGAGGTTTCTGTAGTCCCCCTTTCTGGCAGCGTGATCCTTGGAGGCCTTTCTCCGTGTCTCCGGATTCTCCAAATGGGTTAGTGGAACACAAAATTTTGGTGGTTTTACCTGTGGAAAAGCTCCTGAGTTCAAAACCTCAGCTTCCCTACTTCCTGGAATATATCTGTGACATATTAGCTCTGTAAAAGAGGTACTGCAGAGTCTCTGAGCAAGGAAAAAACAAGATTTTACGTCTGTGCCCTCTATTTCAAGCAATTTACTTGCCTGTTCCTGGAAGTTATTTCCCATACATATAATTGAATAAATTGAGTAGATGCACCCAGATTGGTGGCTACAATTCAAAATTAAAGTAAATAACTAAATCAGGAGTTCAAGTGAAGTGAGATAACTGTTGCAAGTTGGAAGAAAAGGGGAGGGATTTAGTAACAAGGTTTCTGCTAGGGAAGGAGAAAAATAGACCAATGCGGATAGCAGAATAGAGATCTTTCTTTTGAGAGAGGGAGACGGGCAGAGAGAGAACAGAGAGAAAAGTAGAAAGAGAGGAAGAAGGAGAAGAAGAAAGCAAGCAAGAAAGTAGGCAAGCAAGAAAGAAGGAAAGAAAGTAGGAAAGAAAGAAGGAAAGAAAGAAGGAAAGAGAAAGAAAGAAAGAAAGAAAGAAAGAAAGAAAGAAAGAAAGAAAGAAAGAAAGAAAGAAAGAAAGAAAGAAAGAGAAAGAAAGAGAGAAA